TNATTATAAATATGGCTATCAAATGGTTGAGAGAAAAATATAAATTGAATATCAGTTGTCGACAACATACTTGCCTATGTGATTTCTTAACTGTCTCAAATAATGATCCGGATCAAAAGAATAGAAGTGCTAGAAGCGCTTAAGTTGATTGAGATAGAAAGAAAAATTGAGGCAGAGCTTTCACTCGCTACACGATATATCCCAGGAGGATAGCATATCCCAGAAGGATAATGAATATTTATATGAAACATGTGATGTGGTGGTATGACGTAAATATAGCGAGATTATGCTCATGGGTTTATGCAGAGACCCAAATATTTATAAGTTCTCTCATTAGCAATGATTCCGCAAGTTAATATTTATGGCAGCATCATTAACATGACTACCGAGTCATATGTGAAAAGTCCTAGATGGGCTCGAGTACCCGAGATGAACGATAATTAAATAGTTTAATTATTTGAAGTTGTTGGTAAGATGTGGTACAACCAACTAAATTCTTCCTGAAGAAGTAAAATAAGAAATTCAAGGTAGATCCTTGTGTATATTAATGATAATATACAAAATGATCATCTCGGTCAAATAGATTATGTGGTGAACACTATGTAAAGATTAAATAAGTTCGCTCATGCTTATAGACGGAGTTAGAATGAAACTCTTGGTTAAATACCAAAGAGTATTAAATCGACTTGTAGATCGAGCATCTCCTAGAAGGAGTATTTTTTACCTAACCAATCTACTTGAATCTCTTTATAGAGATGTAAAATTATAACACCAATGAGTGTCAAATATTTTAAATTTGACAAAGATTTATAAAGATCCAAAGAAACAAATGAGGATATTATAGGACCTGAAGTTCCAATGGACTTGAAGTCCATAAATGACCTGAAGTTTATTTACTACGCGCAATTGTGCTAAACTTTTATCACGCAAAGTGCATCAGGCCTGATATTGCATTTCCGATGAATTTGCTAGCAAGATTTACTATCTCTCTCCTTAGAGAGATGTCGTGATAAATTTGAGAATATCTCATTATGCTTTCATGTATGTTGAGTTATCTTTGGACTAGATATATGATATTGGTGGATAAAGACATAAATTGTATAATTGATCCCCAAGTACTGGGTCCTCGATTGGTTATAGACCTCTTAAATGGTATTAACTCTTTACCATTGGTTATTTAAATTTCCCCATATTTATCTGGAAGATAACTCAGTTTGTGTTACACAAATAAATTATGGAAATACATTTGATGATATTTTTGAATTCATATTAACTCCGGAAGAGCAACCAATGACGATTTTATGTAGACACTCTTGCCTTGAGGGGGAGCAACAAACATTTATAAATATAACTTGAAAGGCTCTTGCCTTCAGGGGGAGCGATAAATAAATCCTGAAGATCGAGCCCGGAAGGCTAATTGTAATCCTGAAAATTAGGCCCTGTTGGCCAGTGCTGTACTCTTTTTCCCTTAGCTATGTTTTTTTCCATTGGGTTTTACTTAGTAAGGTTTTTAATGAGGCAGCAAGTGTAACACATAAATATGCATACGTCATGTACTCTTTTCCTCGACTATTTTTTCCCACTGGGTTTTGTAGCGAGGTTTTTAACGAGACATGGACATGATATAGTAATGTCCAAGGGGGAGTGTTATAAATATATGTATATGGACATTACTAATTGATAATTGGGCCTGAAGTCCATTAGTTAGGAAAATTAGGTTTTAGGGCTTCTCACTTGTAAACCCTATAAAAGGGTGATATACGATGAATAAAGGGATAGACTTTTCTGCTCTTCTGTCTCTTGTTCTCTTACTCGTTTCTCTTTACTTTGTTTGGTGTGAATTGATGAATGCTTGAGGATCCCAATTTACAACAAGTTGAAGCAATTAATCGTGCTAACTAATAGTAATAAAGTGGGAATCGGGCTTCATAAATAACAACAAGTCTTGTTAAACGAATATACGCACTCACAAATACGATTAAATGTTAAAAAAGTGTTATCCATATATATGATAGAATTCATGCGTTAATAAGTATTTCATGTTGTATATAGAGAATGGTCTTGGCAATAACTTTAAATTATTTGGGAACATTGATGTGACACACCAATGGAAAGATATTGTCTTCTGCGGGGCCAATTGACCGGTGATTGGGGTTGGAAATTTTGTTCATGCAACACTAATCTCTATATTTCATATTTGCCTTTGTAACTTGTATAAAAATAACATAATTAAAATGCTATCAAGTAACAACGAGTTGAATAACAACAATCTTATGTTATGTTTTAATTACAGAATATTTTCACTATCAAAATATGTACTTCTAAAGAAGTTCTGCTATATATATATATAGATCTTGAACAAGTATTTATTTACAATGAAAGCTCCATGGTTTTATATTTTCTTTTATGATCCATATATTTCATAATTTTAACAATGGATTATTTTTCTACTTCCTTGCTTGTCCACTCCACCCAATTAATTTTCTACATTCTAAATCTGTTTCTAGATCCAATCAATTAATTAGCTTCCACTACAAAAAAAATTGTTACATTCCAACCGAAAATCCTATGGTAATATATTCTAATAGAAATTCCAACGGATATTCCAATGGTATAGCTTCCGTTGGAATGTATTTTTCATTGGAATTTTAGATGGAATTTGTTGATTCCAACGGTTATATTTCCAACGGCTTTTGACCGTAGGAATTTCCGTTGGAATAGACAATTTCCGTTGAAATTTTTATTTCCACCACCGTTGGAATCGTCAAAATCCAACAGAAATTCCAATAGAAAACTCACTCCAACAGAATATTTTTGTTAGAATTTCCGTTGGAATAATTCCAACGAAAATAATAGCATTGAAATATCCATTGGAATTCCCGTTGGAATTCTATTAGAGTATATTTCCGTTGGAATTTCATCATTTTCTTGTAGTGTTCGTTTGTAATCTATACTTATATAAAAGGTCATCCTATTTACTAGAAATAGTAGGCAGAAAAGTCAAAGGTATTTAATGCTTGCTGGAAATAGAATGACATTAATTATAGACTTGTTTTCGTATTTATACGCTTGACATCAAAGATTTGTTATGGGATAAAAATTAGAACCAATTTTTTTTACCTTCACTGAAAAAATCAAAGGTAAGTATAGATTTGTTTTATCCATAACATCGTTTTAGTTAAAAAAATCCCATAAAATCTATTTTATATGTCAAGCCTATAAATAAAGATTTAATCGGTCAAAATTAAATCATTATTCTACGTCACCCATAAATAAAAACAAATGTCAAGCCTAAATTAAAGAGTTTAGTTCTATATAGTTATTGATTTACGTAAATACATCTAATATTACGTAAATACATCTAATGTTTAAAGTTTGTGTAGATTGAAAATTCTTTATCATCTAACTAATTAAAAAGTGTAACAGCACACAACATTAAACAAACAAGCTAGTGTAACCATTACTTAGAAGATAACAACAACATTAACTCTCGTAATAAACGAACGCAGAGTCCCACACACAAAAAAAACCAAGATA